TTTGGCAGAATCTTTTAAAAATATTGACAATAATAAAGAACCTATGTTGTCCCTCTTCTGTTCCATGAAATTTTCCCTGAGTGCAAGATGAGAAAATAATGAGAACAAGGCCCTTGGGGAGCAGTGGCTGTTCCTGGATGGTGGAGCCCATCCGGGCAGATCTGCCTGGCGAAGCCGCAGATCCACAGCAGCCTGGCTTTATTTAGTCGGGGCTCTACCTGACTCTGCTTGTGGTGTGTTTTTGAGATCATCTGTGACCTTTTGAGTTTATTTGCAATTCTGCATAGATTTACCTCTTTTACTGTCGGATCTAAGGAATTCTCGAAGCAGGTTGACCTCACGTCTCAGGATAGCTAACCTCAAATTTTATGATTTGGGGTTTCGCTCCTCTGTTTATGCAGCTGTCTCTCAGCACTATTCATATGTCAATCATGTACAATTTTGCCCTTTTAGCCTCTGCCTTTTTCATGAAACAATTTGGCTTTTCTGAGCTGTCTGTTAACTCACGTGGTTCAGAGTGGTTGTTCTCAGAGTGGTTGACTTACAGGAGGCCTATATAGAGGCAGTTTTGTCCTTGAGGTCTGATGATTCCTGTTAATTTCAGAGTAATCTGCCACTAGGGACTAAATGTTTGCATTTCTCCTAAATCCCTCTGTTACTGTTCTAACCCCTAACGTGGTTTTATTTGGAGATGGGATTTCTAAGGAAGTAGCTAAGGTTAAATGAGGGTTTGGGGTCAGCCTTATGGGGCAGCAGGTTAAAGCCCCTGCCAGCAGCGCCGGCATCCCATATGGGTACTGGGTGGGGTCCTGGCTGCTCCACTTCTGACCCAGCTCCCTGCTGATGTGCCTGGGAGCGCAGCAGAGGATGGCCCAGGTCCTTGGGCCCCTGCACGCATGTGGGAGACCCAGAGGAGGCTCCTGGCTTGGACCTGGCCCAGCCCCAGTTGTTGGCAGCCATTTGAGGAGTGAACCAGTGTATGGAAGATCTCTCTCTCACTGTGTCTCTCTCTCACTGTGTCTCTCTCTCACTGTCTCTACCTCTCTCTGTAATGCTGCCTTTCAAATAATTAAAATAAATCTTTTTTAAAAAAGAAAGGTTAAATGAAGGTTTGAAGGGTGAGTCTTTTTTTTTTTTTAAAGATTTATTTATCGGCCGGCGCCATGGCTCAATAGGCTAATCCTCTGCCTTGCGGCACCGGCACACTGGGTTCTAGTCCCGGTCAGGGCGCCGGATTCTGTCCCGGTTGCCCCTCTTCCAGGCCAGCTCTCTGCTATGGCCTGGGAATGCAGTGGAGGATGGCCCAAGTGCTTGGGTCCTGCACCCCATGGGAGACCAGGAGAAGCACCTGGCTCCTGCCTTCGGATCAACGTGGTGCGCCGGCCGCAGCGCGCCGCCTACAGCGGCCATTGGAAGGTGAACCAACGGCAAAAGGAAGACCTTTCTCTCTGTCTCTCTCTCTCTCTCTCTCTCACTCTCACTGTCCACTCTGCCTGTCAAAAAAAAAAAAAAAGATTTATTTATCTATTTGAAAGTCAGAGTTACACAGAGAGAGGAGAAGCAGAGAGAGAGAGAGGTCTTCCATCCAATGGCTCACCCCAATTGGCCACAATGGCTGGAGCCACACCCATCAGGAGCCAGGAGCCAGGAGGTTCTTCTGGGTCTCCCACACGGGTGCAGGGGCCCAAGGACCGGGGCCATTTTCCACTGCTTTCCCAGGCCACAGCAGAGAGCTCCATCAGAAGTGGAGTAGCCTGTCTCGAACCGACACCCACATGGGATGCCAGCTCCCCAGGCCAGGGTGTCAACCAGCAGCATGGGCCCCTAAAGGGTGAGTCTTAATCCCCACGGGATTAGCATCCTTATAAGAAGTGACAGGACACCAGGAAACTAATTTAAGATGCCTGCACTCCATATCGGAGTGCCTGGGTTTGATACCTGGCTCCTGCTGATGTGCCCCGCGGGAGGCAGCAGTGGTAGCACAAGCAACTCTGGGTACCACCCATGTGGGAGACCAGGTTGGATTCCTGTCTTAGCCCAGCCCAGTGCCAGCCATTGCAGTGACTGGGGGAGTAAACCAATAGAGAGAGTGTGCTCGCTCACTCGCTCGCTCGCTCTGTCTCGGTCTCTCAAATAAATACATGGAAGTGTTTTACAGAGAGGGAACCACCAGAGAACTCACCTGTTCTCTTTCCTTGTGCATGGACTGAGAGAAGGCCATGTTAGGCACAGGAAGCCACAGCATCTGCCAGCCAAGAAGAGGGCCCTCACTAGGAACAGTTGGCAAGAACCTGATCGTGGACTTCCAGCCCCCAGAAGTGTGAGAAAGCAGATGTGGCTGAACCACCGGTCTGTGGCGTCTTGTTGCCGCGGCCGGCTAACAGAGAACTGCAGCTACTGGGTCTGCCCGTTTGATTGATTGATATTAGGAATCGGACTTGTTGTCATGTTTCAGATTGGGTCCCTTGTGATTATGGTGTCTGTGAAACTCAGTTCTTTCTTTTAACCCAGGTAGGGCTTTACAGCCAGAGAGACCAGGGGTTCTAGTGCACACACTTGAAACTGCATTAGAAGTTAGAAAAGCAATTTAGTGGGTTGTGACCAGCAGTTGTTTTTCAAGGAAATGTGTTGCGTATCATTTGTCGTTTCCTCTGTGTGTGTGTGTGTGTGTGTGTGTACATACAGATTGGCATATAAAAGACATTTCTTACTGTAGGTTCTGGGGAAAAAAATAGACCTGTTGCTCCAATCCCGACTTATCTTTAGTCTGTCTTAGACCACCCTCGGCCAGTGAATATTGTTAGAGTTCGAGGGACAAGGAAGGGCAGGATTATGTGCCATGGAGTCAGACCTCACACCCAGAGATCCAAACCCCCATAGGGGAGGAAACGGTGAGGGGAAGAATATGGCTTTCTCTGTCTTGTCTCTCAGCCAGCGAGGCAGTGAGCCCCGTGTGGACTCTGCGCTCCCAAAGTGCCTTGTGTGTAACTTTACTGTCTGCATGTGCTGTGTTGTTCTGTAATTACTTTTAATTTTTTTGTGACTGGACCAAGTCCGTCATTAGCACTACATAAATGTTGACAGCAGGGAAGAATAACTAGGCTTCCTTATTGGCCTCATGTTACTTACACACATGTTAATGACATGTCTGTTTCTATACTACCTGGTAAGTCACTCCCTATCCAGTCAGGTGTTGGTATTGTGTCCTCTGCCATGAATACATCAAAACACTCTATTCTGTTCTGTGGAGCCAATGACAGCAAAGTCCCACCATGCCCCCTCAAGAAGTCAAGGAACAGGTGGAATTTTTCTCATTATGTGGTCAGCTAGCTTTGTTAAGAGGTAAGGAGGAAGGGGCTAGGCCCTTGCACAGACAGCCTGCGTGGCCAGTCAGCTGTATTCACAAAACCAGCAGTCTCAGGGTGGGGTGAACCATTGTAAGGTGCTGCTCTTGGGCAGCTTTGGGTGCCGTAGACTGCAGCAGGGGAGCTGTTATGATCTAAAGCAAGTTAAAATGTCCCATAGCCAAGAATGAGAACTCTGAGGCATAAGTGGGTGTCAGTCAGACAGAGGGAAGAGCGTGGAATCATGTAAGAGGGAGATGGCTCACAGAGTCTGCAGATGCAGATTCGATATTTAGGTGCCATGTTTAGGCAATCCATAGAAGTTGGAAGAAGCCAGAACTGGATGCAGAAGGCCCATCAGTTGGGAAACCCACCCAGAAGGGCCTGTGTCGGGCAGCATCGTGCCGGGGGCGGCCAGATCATGGCGTCTGGCCACTGATGTTTGGATATGGAGGGGGCCGGGGAAGGGGAGGTCACCTTTGGCTGTGCAGTTTGAGGCCCCCTGCCTGGGAACGGCAGGGACTGATTTTTTTTTCCCTTCACAGTAGTAGAAACCCTTGGGGACAGACATCGTGGGGAGAGAAAATGAAGGCAAGAGCTGGATTTCGCATCTCGGGTTGCAGAGTTCACAGAGCCCTAGGACACCATTTCAAAGATTGGTCTCATTAAAAGAAAACTTCTCGTCATTCGGAGAGAGACTAATTGAACTTTTCCATTTCTTTAGCATTTTTCCCCTAGAAAGCTCTTAGCTATTGGATTAAAAAAAAAATCAGACTCTATTTGCGTTCGGTACATTTTAGTTTTTCAAACCAGGAGCCTGTGTGCTTTCAACATTATTTTCAGCTGGGACAGGAATTTGTTACTCAACTAGGCTCGCAGGGTTCATCAAGGATTTTAGAAAAGGCAGTGGCGTAACAGAAATACTGTTTATGAGTCAGGTATTAGTTATACATTGACACAAATGAATTCCAAACAGATGCTTTGAACCAAAAGCCCTAACAGTTCAATTACTGTTTCCTTCAGCGCCTCCTCAACTTTCTTTCTGTTCTCTTCATTCCAGGTCATTATTCCACAGTGACTTTTGAGAAGCAATTTCCTTAAGAGAGTACAAATTGGATTATTCTCCTTTATTGAATTGAAATTCTTAACAAGGCTTTCCGCACTAATGAGATATTGTGTCCACATTAGACTAAAAAGGCTAGTTTGAGTCATTTAGTTAGCATTGCAGAATTACAAGTCATTGATTAAGGCTTTACTAATAACTCAAGCAAGGCTTCGTAACAAAAAGGCTTCCAGTAGGTGCTGCGACCACAGCCGTGAAAATTCATGCCAGATAAACAGCAACAGCTGCAGGAAGTAGAATTAGCTTGACCATCCACATGCAGTGACACTGAATGATTTAACCCTGCTGCCTACGATGAACTTGACCTCCTTATGCAATGATTGGATCTCCCAGGCCTGGCATGGCAGTGGGCCGGAGGGAAAAGATACCCGTCCCTTGAAGTACAGATTGCTTTGATAGGAACCCTTTTTTGGCACATGCAAGAGTTTTACTTCACAAGACAGAAAAAACCAGACTCGTTTGTAATGATTGTGCTGAGTGTTTTCCCCCACGGCTGCTGTTACTCCCGACCTGACAAGTCCTTTTCTCTCCAGTTTAAGGTTGACGGAGAATGGTGGACGTGGATCGACTACGGCCGCTTCCAGGAGCTCATCCAGGCGTATGAAGACAGCGGTGGGTCAGAGACTTTCAGCGCCCAGGATTACATGGCAAAAACGCCACAGTGGGCGTTGTTCGGTGCCAGCGAAAGAGGCTTTGATCCCAAGGACACGAGATACCAGAGGAAGAACAAACCCAAGGCGATTTCCGGCTGTTGAGCTTGTCTTCAGGATCTAAAGGATAAAAGCCCGACGGCCCACGAGGTGCTTGGGCTGTGTGATTTTCCCAAGGATAAATGCTATTGTTTCCTGTAGTTGCGACACGAGCCGCATACCTGGGTAGGAGAGGTGGCTTCCACACCGTGGGCGCCTGACACTCATCTCCAGTATTTCTTAGCCGAACTCAGCTCCTTTCCTGGTTTTGTTTCTCAGAGGGAAATCAGTTTTTAGGAGGAAGTAGACAGTCACCACAAGGATTTAACTAACAGTTTTAAACTCTATTCCAGGAAGACTTCCTGAAGCGCCGTTCACGATAGTGTTGTACAGGAATGAGGAGCTGAGCCTCTGCCTGTGCCTGTGCCTGTGCCTCTGCCTCTGCCTCTTCCTCTGCCTCTTCCTCTTCCTCTTCCTCTTCCTCTTCCTGGGATGTTGGCTTCTTGTGGAACAGCCACTGAGCATTGAATTGGAGCGCTCTTAGCTACACGTGCCTGCTCCCAAAGAGGGGAGCCCAACCCCTTCTTACATCGTAAGACAACAGCCCCTGGAAAAAAATTTAAGTCCTCACAGTTTTCCATTACTTTTCAGTACTGTGTCCATGACTTTGAATTTTTGCTTCTGACCCTTTTTTATGATATCACTCGGCTCTAAAACTGAGCTAGCTGGCACCCGTTCCCATGCAGATCCCCTTAGAAGGTAATACAGGGGCTGGATCCCCGCACGCGGTCCCCTGTGCAGGAGGAGCTGCCACACCGTGGCACTGAGCAGTGAGCCTCAGGAACGCACTTGACTGAGGGGCCCGAGTGCTTTCCATTGGAACGACCACTGTCCTGGCCTCGTCCCAGGACACAGAACCCACAGCTGTCCACCCTCTTTCACTCCCGGAGCCCTCGCTGCCCTGGACCAGCTTGCCTTTAGGATTCCAGTCTTTCCTCATTGCAAATACTGTTGTCAATCCCGCCCCCCCACCAAGTTGTCAAAGTTATTTTAAAACTCCTTTAAAACTGAGTTAATAAAACAATCTTTTGTAAAGACTTGGAGCATGAGTTCCCTGTGAGAGCTTCCAGCCCCAGAATTCCAAACCTCAACAGACCCACCTGCTCTGACGAATCAGCAGTTTCATGCCACCTTCTGTGGTGTGCAGAGGTGAAATGCAGTGGTGATGTATCTCCCAGCCGGACTGAAAACGAGCAACATATCTGTCTCCAAGTGGCAAAGTCAAAGCAGCTCTGTTGGAAACTATAGGAAATACCAACAGCTTTCCTCCCCATAATTCACGCCATTCCCACCGTTTCACTTCTGATACCAGATGTGCGGGGGTTTGCCCTACTCCCACCAAGCCCTGGCTGCTCCCCTTCCAATCCAGTGCCCTACTAGTGCACCTGTGAGGCAAGGGTGATGGCCCAAGAACATGGGCCCTGCCACCCATGTGGGAGACTCAGATGGAGTTACTGGCTCCTGGCTTCCTCTTTGGCCCAGACCTGGCTGCTGGGGTCATCTGGGAAATGAACCAGCTGATGGAAGGGGTCGCTCTCACCTCACTCTGCCTTTGGAATAAATAGGTGGATCTTTTTAAAAATGACAAAATGGGCCGGCGCCACGGCTCACTAGGCTAATCCTCCGCCTTGCGGCGCCGGCACCCCGGGTTCTAGTCCCGGTTGGGGCGCCGGATTCTGTCCCGGTTGCCCCTCTTCCAGGCCAGCTCTCTGCTGTGGCCAGGGAAGGCAGTGGAGGATGGCCCAAGTGCTTGGGCCCTGCACTCCACGGGAGACCAGGAGAAGCACCTGGCTCCTGGCTTCGGATCAGCGCAGTGCGCCGGCCGCGGCGACCATTGGAGGGTGAACCAACGGCAAAGGAAGACCTTTCTGTCTGTCTCTCTCTCTCACTGTCCACTCTGCCTAAAAAAAAAAAAAAAAAAAGGCCGGTGCCGCGGCTCACTAGGCTAATCCTCCGCCTTGCGGCGCCAGCACACCGGGTTCTAGTCCCGGTCGGGGCACCAGATTCTGTCCCGGTTGCCCCTCTTCCAAGGCCAGCTCTCTGCTGTGGCCAGGGAGTGCAGTGGAGGATGGCCCAAGTGCTTGGGCCCTGCACCCCATGGGAGACCAGGAAAAGCACCTGGCTCCTGGCTCCTGCCATCGGATCAGCGCGGTGCGGCGGCCGCGGCGGCCATTGGAGGGTGAACCAATGGCAAAAGGAAGACCTTTCTCTCTGTCTCTCTCTCTCACTGTCCACTCTGCCTGTCAAAAAAAAAAAAAAAGAAAAAATAACATTTTTATTTCCAATGAAAAAAAATTTGGAGATTAAATAAATGATAGATGATTCTAACATTCAATGACAATTAGCCAAACAGGTGACCATAGTTAAGGAATTTTAGAAAGAAATAACTACTAAGGGAAAGTCGCTTTATAAGATATTTAAATATATTCCCTAAATAATTAAAATGAAACGAAATCAATTTCCAGAAGGCAGAGGGGGAAACCACAGTGCGCTCACTCCCTCTAAAATTAAAATGTGGGCAGGACAACTATAATCAACTAATTTATCATTTTTGAATTCTGAAAATTAACTAAAGCTTCATAATGAACTGCAAGTCATCTATCAGAATAAAATCCTGACCCACAGTAAGATAGCAGTTGGTCTCATCAGAAAATCTGGAAGCTAGAAATCAGTGGGATGAAATAGATTGTCAGCCAAAAGTCCTAGTTAAGTGCTTCTCCAAAAAGAAGGGCAGGCAGGCATTTGTCCCAGCAGTGAAGTGCAGGTTGGGAACTTTGCAGCCCATATCCCAGTGCCTGGGTTCGAGTCCTGGCTGCAGTCATGCTTCTAGCTGTCTGCTAATGCACACCCTAGGAGGTAGTGTTGATGGCTCATGGCAGACCTGGAGTGATGTCTTGGACCTGCCTATTATGGGCTTTGGGGGAGTGAAACAGAAGATAGCTTACTCAATCTCTCTCTCTCTCCCACCATCTCAAATAAAAAAAAAAAAAAAAATTATAACATTGCCCAGTCGGGGCTGCTGCTATGGTGTAGTAGGTTGAGCCTCTGCCTGCGGCACCGGCATCCCATATGGGCACCAGTTCATATCCTGGCTGCTCCTCTTCTGATCCAGCACTCTGCAGTGGCCTGGGAAAGCAGAGGAGGATGGCCAAAGTGCCTGGACCCCTGCACTCCCATGGGAGCCCCGTAAAAGCTCCTGGCTCCTGGCTTCTGATTGGCCCAGTTCCAACAGTTGCAGCCATTTGAGGAGTAAACCAGTGGATGAAAAGCCTCTCTGTCTGTCTGTCTGTCTCTATATATGTAACTCTGCCTCTCAAATAGATAAATAAACCTTTTAAAATAATTGTCTAAGATAATTCATTGGGGCCGGCGCTGAGGCATAGTGGGTAAAGCTGCCGCCTGCAGTGCCAGCATCCCATCCAGGTACCGGTTCGAGTCCCTGCTGTTCCACTTCCACTCCAGCTCTCTGCTAAGGCCTAGGAAAGCAGTAGAAGATGGCCCAAGTCCTTGGACCCCTGCACCTGCATGAGAGACCTGGAGGAAGCTCCTGGCTCCTGGCTTTGGATTGGCACAGCTCCTGTCGTTATGGCCCTCTGGGGAGTAAGCCAGCGGATGGAAGACCTCTCTCTCTGCCTCTCTGTAACTCTGCCTTTCAAATAAATAAATCTTAAAAAAAAAAAAAAAAAAGAAGATAATTCATTGTCAGCAGACCTACCATAGAGAAAGGAGTCCTTCAGGCATTACGGAAAGGACACCATACATTAACCTGAAGAACTAAGAGAACAGTGAAAGGTAGCTGTGTAATTGTTTGTTTTTTTTTTTGTTTTTTATTTTTATTTATTTATTTTTTTTACCGGCAGAGTGGACAGTGAGAGAGAGACAGAGAGAAAGGTCTTCCTTTTGCCTTTGGTTCACCCTCCAATGGCCGCCGTGGCCGGCGCGCTGCGGCCGGCGCACCGCGCTGATCTGATGGCAGGAGCCAGGAGCCAGGTGCTTTTCCTGGTCTCCCATGGGGTGCAGGGCCCAAGCACTTGGGCCATCCTCCACTGCACTCCCTGGCCACAGCAGAGAGCTGGCCTGGAAGGGGGGCAACCGGGACAGAATCCGGCGCCCCGACCGGGACTAGAACCCGGTTTGCCGGCGCCGCTAGGTGGAGGATTAGCCTAGTGAGCCACGACACCGCCCCAACATTGTTATTTGAAACTTTTTTCTTCTGCTTTAAAAGACAAGTGCCTAGAGCAATTATGTATAGAGATGTAATTTGTATGATGATATTAATACAAAGGAGTAGGGAGAGAATAAGGGTATATTGGAATAACTGTTGGCCACCATGATTGAAATTAACATGGATATGACGTTTTTTAAAAGGAATAGAAAAAATTGGCAAACATATAGGTAACTATTTTAAAAACAGATTATGCTGAAAAAAGAAGACAGATGGCAGAGTAGAAAGAATATATATACTGCCAGCACCGCGGCTCACTAGGCTAATCCTCCGCTTGCGGCACTGGCACCCCGGGTTCTAGTCCCGGTTGGGGTCCCAGATTGTGTCCCGGTTGCTCCTCTTCCAATCCAGCTCTCTGCTGTGGCCCAGGAGTGCAGTGGAGGATGGCCCAGGTGCTTGGGCCCTGCACCCGCATGGGAGACCAGGAGGAAGCACCTGGCTCCTGGCTCCTGCCATCAGATCAGCGCGGTGCGCCGGCCACAGCACGCCGGCCGTGGCGGCCATTTGGGGGATGAACCAACAGCAAAAGGAAGACCTTTCTCTCTGTCTCTCTCTCTCTCACTGTCTAACTCTGCCTGTCCAAATATATATGTATATATATATACTTATATGTTGTCTTCAAGAAACACACTTTAAATTCAAAATTCAAAAGCAAGTAGGTGGAAAGTAAAACAATAGAAAAAGATGTGCCATGAAAACAGAAACTAGAAGAGCTGGGTGGTTATACGATTATAAAAAATAGACTTTAAGACAAAAATTATACTAAAGAAGGAAATTTAATGATGAGAGTCAATTCACTAGAAAAATATAATGATTGTAAACATGCATGCATCTAACAACAGAGCCCCAGGAAAGAATTCAGCAATATCAGTTGGAGACTTACATTGTCCACTTTTAATAAAGACTAGAAAATTAAAAAGTCAGCAATGAAATAGAGATGTGATCAACACTCTAAACCACAGATCTTCACCCAACAACACATTATTCTCAAGAGCATGTGGAATGCTCTCCAGCATAGACCAGCATAGACCATAAATCACGTCTCAATAAATTAGAAAGGGTTAAAAATCATACAAAATATGTCCTGCTACTAATGAAATAAAAATAGAAATCAACAACAGAAGAAAAGTTTGAGAGATTCACATGCATCTAGAAAATTCACAACTATCCTAAACGACCAGTGAGTCAAGACATTAGAAGGGAGATTATAAAATACCAGGAGGTGAATGAAAATGAAAACACAGCAAACAAAAAATGGAATATTGCTAAAGCAATGATTACAGTGTCACTCACAGCTGTCAAGGCCATGTTAAAAAAAGCTACATCTAAAATCAGTAACTTAACCTTTTTAAGAAACTGGAAAAAGAACAACTTGTGTCCAAAATGAACAGTGGGATAAAATAACTCACATTTGAGTGACATAAATGAAATAGATGAAAGAGAAACAATAGAGATGAATCGATGAAACCAAAGATTGGTTCTGGGGGAAAAAAAATCAACAAAATTGGCAAATCTTCAGTGAGACTCACAAGAGAAGGATGACAAGATGCAGGGGCTGGTGTGGCGGTGCAGGGAGTTAAGCTGCCTCTTGCAAATGCCAGCATCACGTATCAGTGTACCAGTTCGAGTCCTGCCTGTTCCACTTCCAATCCAGGTTTGTGCTAATGCGCCTGAGAAAGCAGCGGATGATGACCCTACTGCACGGGCCCCTGCCGCCCACGTGGGACACTAGGATACAGTCCTGGCTCCTGGCTTTGCCTTGACCCAGACCTGACTGTTGTGGCCACTTGGGGAGTGAACTGGCAGATGGAAA